CTGCGCATGTGTTTAAATATGTTCAAGGAGGACTTATTTTCAGGGAGGGCTTATTTTCAGGGAGGATTTATTTTAGCACATGCGCTCAAAAGCCCAATTGGGCTTATTATCCAGGAAGGTCTTATTTTGGGAAAACAGGGTACCTATTGAGTCTTAGATATTTACTGACCCCTTTTCGACCTCAGCTATTTATGGAGGCCTTGGGTTGAGTGTCAGTGTTAACTTTGGGGGAACCCTGATTTTTACAATAAAATATGTCTAGTGATAGCTAGAAAAAAGGCATGGAAATCCAAGTAGACCTCACTTACTGGCTGCAATTGAGATTGACCGCTCCCTTGCAGTCATAAAGTGAAAAATCCCATAACTACATTGACTTACTCAACAGTTGTTAAACAAATCACTGCAGGTTGTTCATTGCAAACTCACGTGACTGAAATTTGTCACTTCCTGCCAACTTCCACATTGGCTGTGCTTGTCAAAAGCTGGCTGTGAAGGTTGCAAATGGTGGTCATATGACCATGGGATGCTGCAACCATTGTAAATGCACATTGATTGGCCATGCCTGAATCCCGAACATGTGATTGCAGGAATGCTGTGATGACCACAACTTTGAGGATCAATCATAAATTTTTCAACACCATTGCAACTTTGAACAGTTGCTGAATGACCAATCAGTAAATGAGGACTACCTGTGGTCACTAGCAGTCGAACTCAGCTTAAGAACATCTTTACATCAGAGTGAAAATGAACGTCATGTTTCAGTGTTTGTACACTTGATCTTATGAAGGTCTTTAACAGATGGTATGGTAGTGGTCGCAAACCAAAGTTGTGTGTTGATTTGTGAGTTTTTTAAATTTTCCTTTGCACGTGTGTGCAGCATAGAGAGGAAAAAACCTGCATCCTACTGCTTCTTGGTGTCATTTTGATAAATTCACTGCTTAAGGTACGGCAATTGGGAATCAAGAAAAGTTAGTGATTAGGGTTGTACACATTTGTTATGGGGATTATGTAGTAACAAGGCAGCTATAACCTCAAGAATAAATACATTGTGGCTGCATTGTTTTCAACCCACTAGTGGCTTATTAGTAAAAAGTGTATTTCCACAGATTTAGTCTGAGCAAATTCAGTGAATTTGTGCCCTTTGTCTTAAACTGCTGTTAAAAACAGTGTCTGGCTACCTGTAGTTATTGTGGTGTATCCCCAGATATCTTGGTGGTGTAAATGTTCACCAAGGATTAATCAGCAGGATAGACAATTAGGAGACATTGCTGTTTTGCAGAAATTGATTGCTAATTATCAGAGGAAAAAGGAGACAAGCACTCTATCAAGCAACCATAGAACGTTCTCTGAAAATGATCTGAAAATTCCAGGGAGAAAAAGAACCCTTTTTGACAGGGTATTTAAACATCAGAAAAGTTCTCCAGTTATAACTCAGTGCTGCAAAAACAATGTTGCTTCAGTGCAAATTATTTCAAGCAAAGCAGGTTGTTTCCCCCCCCCCCCCCCCTTGGATTTCCGAGTTGCCTTGTTTGGACTCCCATTTGCTTTAACAGATTAACAGAGTTGGAAGGGACCTTGTAGGTCATCTAGTCCAACCCCCCTGCCCCCCGGCCAAGTAAGAGACCCTATACCATTTCTGACAAATGGCAGTCCAATCTCTTCTTAAAAACTTCCAGTGTTGGAGCATCCACAACTTCTGGAGGCAAGCTCTTCCATTGGTTAATTGTTCTCACTGTCAAGAAATTCCTTCTTAGTTCTAGCTTGCTTCTCTCCTTGATTTGTTTCCATCCGTCGCTTGTAAAAGGGGATCACATGACCACGGGACACAGCAATGGTCATAAGTGTGAACCAGTTGCCAAGCACACGTATGTAAATCACGTGACCCTGAGGATGCTGCAAAGGTTGTCAAGTGTGAAAAATGGTTGTAAGTCACATCTTTCAGTGCTGTTGTAACTTCGGTTGCTGTAAGTTGAGGACTAGCTGTATTCCCAAGCACCCACCTTTCTTGCTGCTGGTGAGCAGAGACCATGGGGTGAGCTACTGACCCCTCGAAGAGCTAACTCTGGGCTTCCAAGCGTGATCATGGGGAAGATGGGCCAGGCCTGTCCAAGTTGGGGTTGGCCGCCTCCCCCCACTAAAAACTCACCAAAAAAAAACCTTCACCAGGATGTATTTAATATAAGAAAAAAAGAAAGGCAAGAAGCAAGGAAAAGTCATATTAAAATAACAAGGGGTTTGTTTGTTTGTTTGTTTGTTTTTTGAACCATCAAAAGTATCTCTCCAGCTTTTCAGGAATTTAAAAAGAACCGGAAAACATTACTGTTTATCAAACTCATTAAGTGAATCACAACAGCAGCTTCAGATTGCAGTGATTGAGTGATATCCAAGTAATCTGTAGCATTTCTTCTGTGACCTTTTATTATAGAAAAGGCTTGATATAGGGAGAAATCTCAAGTGCTCCTGCATGGAAATCACAGCACATTAATCATTCTTGAGACATTGCTAAAGGAACATATCATCCATTCTTGTGCTCCAATGGCTTTGGAAAATAGGGCAGGATTTTGGTACCCTATACTTGTACAAGAGACAAGGGTTAATCTTGGCAAGCAATTCCAATAAGTTCAAGTGTGACCAAACTGACTTGCCTTGCCATGTCTTTGGGCGAGGAATGAGAAGGGATGCTGAGATCACCTTTGCCAACTAATACAAATGTTTACACCATGTTTTGTGATGCAAAACATGATAAATAGTAGATTTAGCATTAAACATTTTGTAACATTTCCAGGTGTGGTCACACTTTGCTCTGTCTGTCTGTCTGTCTGTCTGTCTGTCTGTCTGTCTGTCTGCCGTCTGTCGTCTGTCTGTCTGTCTGTCTGTCTGTCTGTCTGTCTGTCTGTCTGTCTATCTATCACTGGGAAAACCATCCCAAGATGTTGACAATCTATACAACATCATTTTAACATCCAAAAACATACCCATCAGCATATTTTAAGGAAAAGAAAACTACTTCAGCCCCTTCCCCAACCTACCATAGACCAAATTAAAACCCTGAGAGAAAATCATCATTGTCAGCTAGCACTGAAAACTAGATCTCCAAAGGCAAGGGAAGGTGTTTCACTTCTTAGGTGTCAATGGTGAGAACTCCAAACTTCATTTGATGAATGCATAACCCTCAGACTCCTCTCTGGTAGGTCTCATCATAAACAGGATTAGGAGAAGGTCAGAAGCTCTGTGTGGTTTAGATGGGGAAATGAATAAGTGCTGATATAATGAAACTTCACACCATTCCTGTGTTGGGCAGAGTCGCCGGATGTTGGGTCCAATGAACCAAAAATGACACAAGGAGTTACTTCAGAGGAATTTCTTTGTTGTTGGTCATTTATTGACAGAAATCTTGCCAAACTAAAGCACTTATCTGCATATCTACTAGATATATCCTGCAGAAATGCAGGGGTGGGTCCACCATTGCCCTTTTTCTGGATACCAAAGATTCTATCTTCTTTGTCTCTTTGGTCCCTGGGAAAGAGCCACCCGCTCTTGTGAATCTGACCCATATTCCGCCACAATACCAAACCAATCAGGACCATTGTGGCTACATTTTACCAGAGCAAAGTCCTTATCAGCTATCCTGTTAGTCTTTCAGTCCAACAACAGATATGTCACATGGGGAAAATAATAAAATGCTTTGTTTCTTACCTGAATTAAGATAGAACTTTACACCTTTTATAAATTATATTTTATTGGATAGACAATCTTTTAGAGTGATATTTTCTGAAGAAATGAATGGAAGAATGATCTCTATTCTGATGATGTGAATTTCTACATCACATTTTAAAACGTTGGTGTTCCTTGACTTATAGGAAAAATAGGACACAGTAATATGCAATAATAGAACATTATTTATGTTTTCTCAAAAGTGAGTCTTAGTGATTTCAGTGAGATTCATTCCCAGGTTAATGTGTATAGGATTACAGTATCAGTGTCAACCCTCTTGCTTGAAGTCTATGGATTTTTCTAGTTAATCAGTCACAACCTATAACACACCAGGATGACTGAAGAAGGCTCAGTTAAATACGCTAAGGGGAGGATATCTGTTCCTTTGCACATTTTGGACTTCAGTTTTCATTAGTGAAGAAATCCATTTACATCAGTACAACATAGTAACAACTGTCGAAGAAAATTGTAACACTGGTACTTACTGCTAAGAGCATGGAAGCATTCATTTATTGCAAAATAAAGATTAAAATGACATCATCACAAAGATAATAATTTAGTAATTATTTATGAATGTTTCCTGTCTCATCTACCAGGTTCAAATTATTGAAAGGCCCTACCTTGTCTATTATTATAATGCACTCTAGAACCATTGACATCAGTTTACTTTTACAAATCCACTTTTAAATAATGATTAAATTGGATTTTTAATCTTTGTGGTGATGTCATTCTAATCTGTATAACTGAATAACTGAATCCTTTCATGCTCTCACAATAAATGCCAATTTTACAATTCTTTATGTTGATGTCACATACTTTAGACAAAAAGACTACATTTGTTTATATGCATCTTAAATGGAATGCCCTTACACAATTGTTTTAAGATGAATGAAAATCTGTATTGCAGTAAAAGACAGCACACAATAAAATGCAACAATATAAAACGTTACATATGTATGGAAAAGCACAAATCATAAAATTAACTGGAGCTATTAATCATCTGTGCACTTTACATTTAAATGACATAGCAGAATCTGGCTACACTAAGGGACCAGGTGGTACACTTTTCAGAGTTAAAACTAATAAAATCTGGTGAGAAGGACTACGAAATTTGCTTAAATGTGGGCTTATCAACTCTGAACATGTGCCATTATGAAACGTGCAATATAACAAATATGTTTTACAGTTTCAATAGATTCTTTGTAAAATCACAGCTCAAATCAGATACCTCTAAACCTGGCGAAGAACATCAAATAAAATAATTGGGTTTTTTTTTATTTTCATAGATGACTGGTTGTTGTTTTTTCCTCACATGCAAGTTTTCAAAAAGGTACGTGTAATTTTGTGACTAGTGTTGGAGAAGGCTCCTGAGAAATACAAGGACATAACAGCCAAGAAATCGAACCAATGGATCATTGAACAAATCAACCCAGAATTCATTTGAGGCACAAATGTCCAGACTCATATTACCCTACTTTGGACATATTATTTGAAGATCCAGCTCTTTAGAGATGGCTCTGATGTTGGGAAAGGTAGAAAGGAGAAGAAGACAACCAATAGCAAGATGGATGGACTAGGTTACAATGGCAATGAGTGTATCCTTGGGACACCAGGTTAGAGATAGAAATCTAACCATGTGATTGCTAGCAGTCAAAAATGACTGATGGCATGTAGCCAATCAATCAGTTGTTTACATGAATGGTCTTAATCGGGGTGAAATTCAGCTGGTTCTGTCTGGCTCGGGAGAACTGGTAGCGGTGGCTGTAGGAGGCTCCACCCACCTGCGCAGACTTTTTTGCGACTATTTTCAGCCTCTACACATGCGCAGAAGGCTTTATGCAGCACACGCACAATTGCGAACCGGTAGGGAAGGGGAGTGAATTTCACCCCTGGTCTTAATGGTTGACATTGTTTAACAAAGTTTAGGCAGACTATTTTAACTATCTGGAATCAGCTTGCTTATTTGTGCACATTATAAATAAACGGCATGTAGTTCAAAAGCCTTTGGAAGCTTTTGTGGGTTTCTCTCACCCACACTTGTGTACTAATATTTATAATTGTTTTAATGACTTATTCGTTCTTCCAAATCTTGCTTCATCTTTGATCTTTGACATTGATTCTCATAGTCTGTGACTGCTCTAGTAATGCTGATTAGCCCCTTTATCATGGATTCCATTTCCCCCCATTTCCTTTCAAGTCTCACAAATGCATCCTGTTTTAATATTGCACCTTAAACACCCTTTTTGTCTTCAGCTTGCAACAGCCGGTATAAAATGACATCAAGACTGTAACAGCTCCTTTGCAGCTGAAGTGATGGCATTTTCTAAACAGATTGCTAACACTTCTCTTTATTTATGTGGTGCATGCATGGAAATTGTAGCATATGTGCAGGTGCTAAATGTTATGATCCCGAAAGCACTTACAAGTTCGTAGAACAATTTCAACAGCAAGACTTTTCATCAAAGGGTCTTAGAGGGTCAGAGTTCAGTCATTTTGAAATTTGGCTGTCAGAGTATGTTCTGACACCTTACAAAGTGTGGCAGGAAGCGGAAAAATCCACAAGAAGATATTTTAATGGAGGGTCTTTTTCATTTCAAGTATTTTTCTTTACACAAGAATGTAATATTTAAACCGGAACCTACAACATTGATCTCAGCACAGTCAGTTTGGTAACATCAAGCCAAAGCTTCTTTTAATCATTTGCTGAATTTGAAGAATAAATTAGGCATCCAATTTAAAGTATCAATTGAATGTTGAATTAATACTGAATTAGCACACAAGTATCAATTCAGAAGTCAGACTCATATTGTAATATAAAACTTGGGCTGTAAAATTTTCTGGGCCGAGTGTGTATGTGCAAGGGTAGGAGGGATTTTTGTTTGTTAGAATTACATTTCATTTTTCATTCAGGAGTGTTTTATATAACATTTAAAATGACTCCAAGTATCAAAATGTACAGAAGGTAACTATAGATACAATACTCATTTCTTGTAGCAGACTCTTTATATCCCCTTAAGGGGCCCATACAGAAAGTACATTTTGAGTTGTGGTCTTTTTCCTATAATGAAGGTAGCCACAAATCAAAAAGCTGTCTCCCTATTTGAGAACCTGGATTGTCAGCTGGAAAGATGACAGCCCAGATTTGAGAGTCTAGCATCGCATGATGGGGTGAGCTCCCCTTACTTGCTCCGGTTCCTGCCAACCTAGCAGTTTGAAAACATGCTAGTAGATAAATAGGTAACACTTCTGCAGGAAGGTTACTGTGTTTCATGCTGGCCACATGATGATGGAAGTGTCTCTCAGACAACACAGGCTCCCTCGGCTGAGAATTAGAGATAAGCTCTGCCCCTTTGAGTCAGTTATGACTGAACAAGGGAAACCTTTAAACCTTTTAAATTTTCAGCTGGGGTTATTTACTGATTAAAATGTGGACTAGGGCCAGAGAGGAGAGGTTGACTTAGACCAGTCGTTATTTTCAGTCCACATTTCCTTGCAGAGGGTGTTTGAAGATAAAATGGATAATCTCATGAATGGTTTCCCTGAGCTTCAAGAAGTGGGAAAGATACACAGAATAAATTTATATTTCTGTTGTGGTTGGTAGTGTTACTATTATTTGTTAGAGATATATTCTGCCTTTTGCTCAGGAACTGTGTCTACTTACTCAGCTGGTATGAGAGATAGAAGCTGTCCCAAAGTCACCTACTTTGCTTTTGTGGTTTTGAATAGATTGAACCTAGGTCTTCTCCATCCTGGTCCTATTGCAAGCTCAATTATTGTATTTCAAAATAAATAAATAAATCTATTAATCTTCCAGCAGTAACATTAAATCCTGATACTGGTTGCCCCTTTGTTACAGCTTCTGTGATAGTTTTTTTTGAGGTATGGTGATGAGAATTTCACACACTATTTTAAGTCTGGCTGCACCATAGATTTTTATGAAGATGCTTTGATATTGCCAGTTTTATTCTCTATTTATTTCCTAATGATCCTCACCAAGGGAAGAATTCTTTCGTGTCCAATCACCCCTATTTCAGTTCCTCTTGGTAGCTATATGAAGATAGGGTTCTTGTTTGTACTCTAATGCAGTGTTCTTCAACCTCGGCTGAATGAAGATGGATGGACTTCAACTCCCAGAATCCCCCAGGCAGCTATGGGTTGAAGTACACCCATCTTCAAGTGGCCAAGGTTGAGGGACATCACTCTAAGGTACAATATTTTATAATTAGCTACTTTTACCACCTGAATCCCCTTTCCTTAAATTTGGAAATATCAACTGAAGTCATTGCCCTCCATTTCTGTTATGATTGCAGTACTAATTTACTGTTGTAAGAAAATATGCCCAACTGTTTATGAACATATTCAAAAACAATGATACAAATAGAGCTGACTGCTTGCATCTATCCATTGGGACAACTGGCAATTTATTCTTCCAGTTTGCTTTGACTATTAACTGAGAGCAGGATTCAGGTTCTCCTCCCTGTCTGTTAAATCAAAAGTTTGGTAAGCTTTTTGAAAATCCAAAGAACCACTTCTACAGAGTTTAATCCATGCTTCCCCCCCCAAAAAATATCTGTATAAAACAATAGTTATATTAACGGATGCAGGCATGTATGCACACATCTCACTCTGAGCCTTCTCCATACACACACACATCACACCACATATTTTCTTTTTTAAAATAAAAGTCCTCATGCTTTGATGGAGTTCACAAAGCTCTGAAATCCAGCTTTTTTCTTTCTTCTGTTTTCCAGCTTGGCAGCTGCTGGTGCAATGGGTTACGTTCATTGTCAATACATCAAGAAAATTGTAATATAAGGGGCTATTTTGTTACCAAAAACAGATTTGCTCAGATCTTCAGGGCAATTTATAGATCACTACTAAGTAATAGCATCCCTGTTGCCTGGTTTATAATCTAAAAAAGATTTTACAGAAAGAAAGAAAAAAATAACTTGGAAGAAGAAACAGAGCAAATGCAAACAATAATTATTTAAGTTAACCGTTAATAAAATAATAAGTAGTATGAAAACTGTCAACAGATCAATGATAGGATAGTTTTGATGTCTATTTTTTTATTATGTATGTATTATTGCATGTTTATGTTGCTTTTCCTGTGAGAAATCAAGGCAGTGCATGTAGAGATTTCCCCCCATTTTATTCTGATAATGTTTGTGAGAAAGGTAATGACTGGCAAAAAAGAATCAAAGTCAGTCTAATATGACTAACCCTACATAGTTCCCAAGTTCATCCATATTCATTCAATTAGATGTATAGTAGATGTAAAATAGGGCGGGGGAACTATGTTGGCAAATTCCAATGCTGAGAGATTTAAATAAATTATTACAGGGCATTGAGGAAATTTTGCTGAACTAAAAAAAATGATGTAAGAGAAGTTTGCTTTTCACTGCATTTATTTCCCTCCATTTATTTGAGATACATCTTGCTAACACTGAGGGAAAAGCTACCAATATTATTGTCAATTGCTAATATTTTCAGGTTTGTAGCTATTAGGCATTGAAGGGAAATCAAATTTTTCCAAAATCTTTGTACTACTGTATATTACCCTCCAAATTTACATAATCAAATATAAGATAGCATTCAAGAGCAAACAATTTAAAAGAGGCAGTAAGTTCTTTGTAGTTTCATCAGGAAAAAGCTGAAGATCTTATTGCTGTTTTTCCACTGACATTCTCACATTATTCCCTTTTTAAAGAATATATATTGCAAGTTACTTAAAGAGATTATGCAGAATTTACCTTGCCAAGAAAACTGCAGGGGCTTGTCTAGGCAGTCTTAGAGACTTGGACACGATTGAACTGAAGAAGAAAAATGCCATTAGAGATACAGCAAATTATCATTTTGAGGCCTAATTTGATAATAAATAAGTTGCTAGCATTGTTTTTCTCTGTCTTTCATATCTTTTTAATATATAAATAATGCATGGAATCTATGTGAAATCTAGATAGAACAAAAATTAGAAATAAATGGCAGTAAAAAGGAAGTACACAAATATCAGTTATAACTTCAGAAATCATGTTTATGCTTTTCAGTCTCCTTATTGCTCATAAGAGCACATTTCTCATGGTCAATAACTACAATTTATATGCACCCTTAGGGGTAGATTTTCAATGCAGTGACTGAGAGACCACACACTCATTTCCCATCTGTTCATGGGGGTGGTAGGTCTTCTCATACAGGGCAGTATAATAAAAATATGTATTTTGTTGTTAAAAGCTAACTATCTGTCACCATTTTTCCTCCCTCTCCTGCTTCCCAGTGTAAAATTTTTTAAAAGGGCAGTTTTTATATGTGAAAGCAGATTTCCAAACTTCT